TGTGTCTTTGAACCGCTTCTTTTGTCCTCCATGGGAGCGCTTTCCCTGAGTGAGTTCTCTGTAGAAGAGCTGTTTAGGAACGCGTTCATCTGACATTCTCACAACATGTCCGGCCCACCTGGTCTGGGCTCTCATCAGCAATGTGTGAACTGACGGCAGACTGGCTTTAGTAAGGACATCAGTATCGGGCACTTTGTCCTGCCATCTGATTTTTAGAAGCTTTCGCAGACAGGAAATGTGGAAGTGATTGAGCCTTCGTGCATGACTCCGATAGACAGTCCACGTCTCGCAGGCATACAGCAGAGTTGGAAGCACCACTGCTCGGTAGACCTTCAGCTTCGTTGGTAGGCTGATCCCTCGATGTTCCCAAACGTTGGAGTGCAATCGGCCAAATGCAGAGCTGGCTTTAGCAATTCTGCAGTTTACTTCATCATCGATTGACACTGCTCGGGAAAGGGTACTGCCCAGGTACGTGAAGTGGTCCACTGTCTGAAGTCTCTGTCCATTTACAGTGATGGATGGTTCTGAGTACGTTCTGAGACGGTTCTGGGAAGCTGGCTGGTGCATGACCTCAGTCTTCTTGATGTTAATGGAGAGACCGAAGTTGTTGCATGCAGTTGAAAACTTGTCCATACTGGCTTGCATTTCTAGCTCTGTACTAGCATTCAGAGCACAATCATTGGCAAAGAGAAAGTCTCGAAGTGCAGTTTCCTTCACCTTGGTGGTGGCACGCAGTAGCCTCAGATTGAATAGTTTCCTGTCAGTTCTATCCTTCAGGCCTACTCCTTCAGTGCAGTGTTGAAAGGCATCAGTCAAAGTGGCAGAGAATATCATGCTGAACAAAGTGGGTGCTAAAACACACCCTTGCTTGACGCCGTTGGTGACTGGGAAGGCCTCAGATGTTTCACCATCATCCAGGACACGAGCCATCATACCGTGATGAAACTAACGTACCATTCTTATAAATCTGTCTGGACAGCCAAATTTCAACATGATCCTCCACAGGCCCTGGCGACTGACAGAGTCAAATGCTTTCGTGAGGTCCACAAAAGTTGTGTAGAGTTCACGATTCTGCTCTTGACATTTCTCCTGTAGCTGACACACAGCGAAGATCATGTCAATAGTCCCACATCCCTTGCGGAAGCCACACTGTGATTCTGGCAGTAAGTCCTTCTCCAGGTGAGGGAATAATCGGTTCAACAGAACCCGTGCAAGAACTTTCCCTGCTGTAGAAAGCAGCGAGATTCCACGGTGATTGTCGCATACCTGGCGATTGCCCTTCCTCTTATAGGTTTCAGGGTAGCAGCTGTGTTAGTCTGTATCCTCAAAAAGAACAGGAGTACTTGTGGCACCTTAGAGACTAACAAATTTATTAGAGCATAAGCTTTCGTGGGCTACTGCCCACTTCTTCGGATGCATATAGAGTGGAACATATATTGAGGAGATATATATACACCCATACAGAGAGCATGAACAGGTGGGAGTTGTCTTACCAACTCTGGACGCGTCTCCAAATTCTTGTGGAATGGATCCCTGCTTCCAGAAGGACTGAAACAGCTCAGGGAGTTTCCGTAGCAGCATGGGTCCACCGACTTTGTACACCTCTGCTGGTATGGCATCTGACCCTGGGGCTTTGCAACTTGACAGCTGATTGATGGCTTTCTTCACTTCGTCCTCTTCTGGTGAAGCATCCATGGAGTCATTGACTGCAACCTGGGGCATCTTGTCAATGGCCTTATCATTGATGACTAAGGGGCGATTGAGAATTGCTTCAAAGTGTTCAGCCCATCTCTGGAGAATCTGCGTCTTCTCTGTAAGGAGCCCAGTACCATCAGAGTTCAGGAGGGAAAAGCTCCCAGAAGACTGTGGACCATAGAGTGTGTTAAGGGCTTCATAAAACTGCTTATAGTCGTTCCTGTCCACATATGCCTGTATTTCATCTGCTTTGGCGCTCAGCCACCATTCCCGCATTTTGCGCAGTCGGTTCTGTACTGTTCTGCGAGCTTTGATAAAGGCGGTCTTCTTTGCCGCTATGGATGGATCGTTTTGATATGCACGATTCAGGCAGTGCTTCTCAGCAAGTAAGGCCTGGATTTCTGCATCATTTTCATCAAACCAGTCTTGCTGCCTGCATGTGGAGGGCCCCAATACCTTCAATGCAGCTGTATGGACAGTGTTGTGGAATCGCTCCCAGTCTTTCTCAGCGTCATCCTCAATACGAAGATCAGCAAGTTCATTCTCTATGTCTTCTGCTAGATTTTCAGTGATGCAGCTGTTCTTCAGCTTCGACACGTTGATCCTTTTGAAAGCCTTACAGCCTTGTGGTCATCTCTTCGGCATGATACAGAGCTTCATTTTGGATAGTATGAGCCTATGATCCATCCAACAGTCAGCGCCACACATAGCTTTTGTAACCCTGACATCTTGTCTATCCCTTCTCCTGATGATGACATAATTGATCAAATGCCAGTGCTTGGAACGGGGATGCATCCACGAAGTCCTGTTACGGGTAGGAAGGCGGAAGACCATATTGCTGATCAGAAGGTCATGTGCTGCACAAGTTTTCAGCAGTAACAGACCATTGCTGTTACACTTTCCCACTCCATTTTTCCCGATGACTCCTTCCCAGGCTGCGGCATCGCATCCGACTCTTGCGTTAAAATCACCAAGCAGAATCAACTTGTCTGTGTGGTGCAGTGACGATAGCAGAGTATCTAGTTCTTCGTAGAATTTATCCTTCACATCCACTGGGTTGGTCACTGTAGGAGCATATGCGCTGATCAAAGTAGCTTGTTTTCCTTTTTGAAGGGGAAGCTGCACTGTCATGAGCTGGTCATTCATACCCTTGCGGGAACTGGCAAGTTTCCGAACAAGACGATTCTTGATGGTGAAGCCAACTCCAGATTTGCGATGCTCATCACTGCTGCGGCCACTCCAGAAGAATGTATAGCCACCGCCTGACTCAGACAGCTGTCCTTCATTAGCAAGGCGAGTTTCGCTAAGGGCTGCAATGTCAATGTTGTAGCATGCAAGCTCTCTAGCGACAAGTGCTGTTCTTTTCTCCGGTCTGTCTGCTGTGATGTTGTCTAGTAACATGTGCACATTCCATTTGCCAATAGTGATCGGTGTCACTCTAAGTTTTGTTTTTGTTTGACCGCTTTTATGGGATCCCCACCAGCTGTGGTATGCTGGCCAGGGTAAGGTGAAGCAGGCAATGTTTAGTGCACCTTTTCTAGCCCCCTCCTCGTTCTACGGAGGTGAGCAGTGCAATCCTGAATAGGGCTGCTCAGTCACTCAAGAAGATGCCGAGCTCCACTGATGCTTCGGTCAGTGAGGAATGACCATTATGCCTGAGCCACCTATGTGCAGGTCCGTGGCTACAGCTCCCAGTGTATCCATACCTGCTGCTTCGTCGCTCGCCCATCGCCACAGGACTTGATATGATGTAATTTGATATGATATGATGTCGAGACTTGTGCATAAATTGGATTAAAGTGAGGGAGAGTTGCGCAACGTCAGCCTCACGCTCTCTTCCCAGTTCCTATCTGTATCCAGTGGCAGGACAGAAGTCAAGACAGCTGGAGTTAGGGCAGGGCGCAGTGGATGACCAAGACGCCTACGTGTCTTGTCGTGCTCTTTAGCGTTCCACAACGCTTGCTGTCACCGCCTTCCTGATCATTGAACCAGGTTGAACCAGGATGCATCAGTCAGCTGGATCCAGGCCCTAACTCACTGAGAGTCTCATACTCATCGGCTACCCTCACCTGGTTTAGCCCGCCAGTCGAGACGGTCTCCGGGGTGTGGCCGCTGTCGCATACTGACAGCTACTTGGAGCCACAGGTGAGAGCTGGGTGTCAAGTGGGGACCAAAGTGGATGAGCTACTCCTAGGAGTACGACTGCTCCCCCATCACAGGTACTACCCCTCCCTGACAACCCCATACACCCACTACAGCAGTGCCATTGTAAGGTACACAGTGTAGCCACTCTCTGTTGGCAGAAGAGAGCTTTCCTGATGACAAAATAAAACCATCTCCAATGAGGGGCGGTAGCGTTATTGGCGGGAGCGCATCTTGACTGACAAAAGTTTTACCAATGAAAGTAAAGTGTAGACATAGCCTCAAGTTATTCACACTCTGTCACAGGAACATGTGGCCATATCTTAGAATTGGCAACCACAAATATTCAAGCATCATGAGGCAGGTCACCCCAAATTTTGAGACTGGCTTAAAAATCATAAGATGAACATTATATTTTTTTTCCATTTGCCTTTTGGTTTTTGGGCCTTTAGGATGTGATTGACTTATATTTTCAGGATTGTCTCCCCAACCATGAGGTCTAGAAAACTTACTGTACTTGTCTTCCAGAGCTGGGGTTTTATGTAAAACATGAAATATCACAAGACGTAATAAAATTATGAGAGTTGGAAACAGAGAGATCCTGGAGTGCAACTGAATTGCAATAGTGTAGGTCAGAAGATGTGTGAAAGGTGCTCACCTTCACACTTCCCTGATCCTATTGAAGTTCTGTGAGTGGCTGGTGCCTTGTGTTGTGCTATAGCAACCTGAGGAGATTGCAGATGGCCCCAAGGAATTGAAAACACATTTGATAATCAGCAAGTTGCTAGGTCATCCCACCCATGTCCTCTTGACTCTATCATTGCAGCAGCATGAGAGGAAATGGTATATGGGCCCCATGTTGGCTCTGTGGCATCTGAGGATCACCCTTACCCTGTGGGGATTTCAGCTGCCTGGTTAAGCTCACTGAGCTATATATCTGATGATTTGTAGAACATACACCACCATAGGGTCTGGCACACAATCCCTTGGTGACACTAAATATGAATTAGTGAAAGTTCCAGCATAGGAATTACATGTTCTTTGAGTGATGATATATATTAATATTATCGGGGTTAATCAAGAAATAGTTTTTTAGTGTACCCACTATAAACCACAATCTGCTTCAGATAATGGTGTTCTGACTTAGAATGCTATTCTGTATATATTCATGTCAGGGAAGAGTTAAGGAAGATAGCTAGCTATAGATTTGCTTCATACGGACTTTTTTTTTTTCCTGAGAAAGCTGTCATGTCTCTGTCAGGATGTCACCGAATGCCTTACTCAATCCTGAAAAGAATACCATATACAGGACTATGAAAAGCCTTATGGTGGCTTGAGACCCACAGCTTGAGTGTCACATCTTTCAAATTTGGTTCTAGAAGTGTCTCTCTTGGACATCATAATCTCCTGAGTGAAGGCTTTAGAACACTTTTTTTCCACATTTTTGTTGGAAACATTTAACAGTATATTGTGGTTAAATAAAATCTTTGTCTACCTCTGTTGAAAGAAAGACACAAGTATCCGTTGGTCCCAGAAGAGATGTCTAATATGATGTACTAATACAAAACACATTAGCACTTTTAGTAGGATCTCCAGAACTTCCAGTACCCAGGAAATGATTCTATAAATAAGGTGATGATGAGACAGATTTAAGATGCTAGTAACATGTTCCTGAGGCTTCGTCTGTACCAGTTCAACCGTATTAATTTAAAAATCAATCAAATTAAACCAGTACAAACCCCACATGGAGACACAGCACAAACCAGTTTAACCCTTGTTTATATAGACATAACTCATTTTGTGCCTTAGCCTTTCTGATTTTGTCCCTTCATGCTTATGCTATTCTTTTGTGTTCCTTCTTAGCTATTTGTTTCCACTTTGTGTAGGATTCCTTTTTTATTTTATTTAGGTCACTAAAGAGCTCCTGATGGAGCCATACTGGCCTCTTACTATTCTTCCTATCTTTCCTTCACATTGGGATAGTTTGCTGTTGTGTCTTTAATATTTTTTCTTTGAGAAACTGCCAGCTCTTCTGAACTCAATTTTCCCTTACGGATGGTCTACACAAACAAATTAGACCATGGCAAGCTGAGGTAGGAATCTACTTGATGCTAGCCTGCTGCAATCTAACTGTCCATATGCACTCTTTAATCTTGTCCTCTTTGAAACAGGACTAGCTTAAAGTTCATCAATGAACTGTTAAGAAACATCCTGGGGGCAGTGTGACCTCAGCAGGCTGTTGCAGCTAGATTCACTCTCTATATTGTTGTGATCTAACTGTTTATGAAGAAAATTTAAGGCCTTGCCTATCTATGGGACCTTGCCTACAAGTTCTCTGAGTTTATTAAAGTCTAATCTGTGGAAGTCCATTGTCCTTATCCTGCTGTTCTAACTCCCTCCTTTCCTTAGAATCATAATATCTATCACTTTTACCCACAGTGCTTTCTATCTTCAGATTTGTAAACAGTTCCTCCTTGTTAGTCAGAATTAAGTCTTAGGGCATGTCTACACATACAGTGCTGCAGCGACATAGCTGTGTCACTGCAGTGTATCTGGTGAAAATGCTCTATGGAGGTAGGAGAGAGCTCTCCCGGTGGCATAATAAAACCACCTCTACAAGGAAGCCTGGGGGTTAAGGGTCGATAGCAGGGCTGGGACTACTGCTGACACACCTGACCAGAAGAAGTGCTTGTGAGAGGTGGGTGCCTCACCGTCACACTGTCTCCGAGGAGAAAAGTAAAACAGGCCTCTTTAGGCAGTCTGACTTTGCTGGGAAGTTCCCAATGTAGGCAAGGAAGCTGTGCAGTCAGGAAATACCTCAGATAGGAGGGAGAGAGAAATGTGGGCATCTGCCGAAGAGAAGTGATGGCTGTGGAGCTGGGAGCACAGATTGAGTTCCCTTGCTGGACCATGAGGGGCAATGCAGTTGCAGTTCCTGCACTCGGACACGTGAAAACTCACAATTTATACATTTCAAGGGATTCCACTGCGTTGTGGTCACACAATTTGAACATTTATTTGTGAAACAACTGTTTCAGCAATCAACCTTTTTTGTTCAGACAGAGGGACAATCAATCTGAAGGAATAAAGATTCCATCCTTTAAAGTTAATCAGTTGATTATATCTTCATTAGAGATGTCAGGATTTTTTTCCCCCACCGGCGGAGTCAAGGGATGTACACAATAATTATGTTCAGTAGGTAGAGCTGTAGCGATATCTGAATAATATTATAAAATTGCACTGAGCGGTATCTGTCTAGTTAGGGATTAAGTATACCTCAACAGTTTCAGGGTATAAAGAAGGCCATGGGTAAAGCACATGCAAACCACTGTCCCCCTCCTCACCCCTCCCCCACCACACACACTCCTCTGGTAATTTAGGCAAAACAAAAAGTGAAACTAAAAGTGAATGAAAGTCTTTATTATGGAAGTCATAGTGCACAATGCAGAGAAACACTAAAACATACATATTCTTCTGATTTGAAGAAGAGCTCTGTGTAGCTCACAAACTTGTCTCTTTCACCAATAGAAATTGACCCAATAAAAGACGTTACTTCACCCACCTTGTGTCTCTACTGTACTAACATACTCTTTTTAAGCATTTTGATGTTGCAGCTGCAGCCTTTTGTACAGTCAACTTGTTCTCTTCAATACTGTTGACATCTTGTTCCCCCCCCTTTTTTTTATTGCAGTCATCTGTGTATGTATCACAATCCCTGTCTACAACCCTACTGCCAGGATTGAGACTATGTACACTTCTCAATAAGCCAACCTGAAACACAAGTGAAACTTGTCACAATGGAACAAAATGGAAATTTCAAACTAAGATTGAAACAAAAGGGGGTAACTTTACTTCTAGGCAGGTTCATAGAATGGAAATACACATAGAGCCAAAAAGTGCAACTGCCTCCTCCTTCAGCAAGGCAAGTAGGAGTTGTGACATTAATGCCTATTCCATAAAAGAACCCCTGTTAGTGACATAAAAGTTTTCATTATCCTTGGCAGTTCTGTATTTTTCAACTGATTTTAGCATTAGTTTCCTTTTAATCGTAGTATCCAGTGTAAAGTGTGTTAGATGAGATCTACATTAAGGACTTTTCACAAACAAGGTAGAGAAAAAGGCAAGAGGCTATCCAAGAATGTTCAACAGACAAGGAAATTATTTTGTATCCTGTCCAGAAGAATAAATGTAGTCTGTCTAGCAGACATTTTTCATGTACCTCCAGAAAAAAGGCAGATGTTTGGGTTAAAGCTCTAGCCGGCAAGACTAGAGTGTGTGTGAGGGTAGGATGATGAAACAGGGTACGCATACACATCTGACAAATGGCAGAGGATCCTACTTTTGGTTAAAACCTTGACAATAGAGAACTAGGGGAAAATATTGCCAATAGTCCACACAACAATTAAACCTATTGTAGAAGAAAATCTTGCCAAGCCTAAAAAAGAAAAACCACTATAAGGTATTATGTCATCTTTTGATTCAAATAGAAGGTGTTTAGGTTGAAAAGGGAATTAGAACAACTTCTTACATGTGTATTCCCTCTGTTAAAAAGCTCAATCTCTGTGAAGAGATGTACCAAACATTTTTTGCCAAAAACTGGATACATGGAACAGAAGCAGCATTTCCACTTACTAAAATGGACTGTACATAATTGGATATAGCATAGCACATTCTGTGCCAAGATATAGGCTGACGCTACAATGAAAAAACGCTGCAGGCTTAGTTCTTCTGTAAAGAATCATCAATGTTTTTTTAGTTGAACATTGGATATGTTGCATCATTATGCAACCAGAAATCAACTGCATAAGGCTATCTATATATAAATATAGTAATCTGAAGATGACTAATAAAATATCTGAACACTTTTTTGGACATTAGTTAAAGAAGAAAGATGCCATAATAGTATCAGCTTTCTTTCTCTTTATTGTAATTGTCTATGAAAATCTTTATATAAAAATAATTTACTTTTACCATGACTTGGGTGATATCAGATATGTACTTTGTACCATTTCTTTAATCCAATAAATATGGGGTTAATAGTAACTACGGGTATGTCTACAGCACCGCTCAGAGAGTGCTGAAGGGAAACCACTGTGTGTTCACACTATCAGTTTCCTGTGCAATAGCGTGTTCACTTGTGGCACTTGCAGCAGTATTCAGAGCAGTGCACTCTGGGTAGCTATCCCACAGAGCATCTCTTCCTCTTTTGCCGCTAAGAGTTGTGAGAAGGCGGAGGGGGTCGCGAGGCATCCTGGGTCCTGTCCCAATGCCCCATGATGCATTGCTTCGCATCCCAGCAATCCCTGTGCTTCTGTCTGCATTTGGCGCCATCTTTCAATGGTTTGTGTACAACATGCTCTGCTGCCTCTTTGGTCTGCAGGAATGAATCCCGAACTGTTGACCAGTATGCTGCTCGCTCTGACTAACACGTCACAAGTGGCAGTGGAGTTATTCTTTAAACTACAAAGGCAAGAGAAGTGCAACATTGATCTCGCCATGCCTACTAGCTATGGCACGAGATTGCTTGTGGCATTCACGGAGGTGCTTACCACACTGGAATGCCGCTTTGGGGCTCGGGAAACAAGCACTGAGTAGTGGGATCACATCGTCATGCATGTCTCCATGTCTGATGAGCAGTGGCTGCAGAACTTTTGGCTGAGGAAAGCCACATTCATGGAACTGTGTGATGAGCTCGCCCCAGCCCTGCAGCACAAGGACACGAGAATGAGAACTGCCCTGCTGTTGGAGAAGCGTGTGGTGATTGCACTGTGGAAGCAGCAGTCTGGAGTAGCCAATCGATCGGTCGCTAACCAGTTCGGAATGGAAAAGTTGACCGTTGGACTCGTGTTGATGGAAGTATGCAGGGCCATTAATCGCATCCTGCTCCAAAAGACCAACGTGTGTGACACTGCGGATGGCTTTGCACAAATGGGCTTCCCTAACTGCGGAGGGACGATAGATTGCATGCATATTCCAATTCTGGCACCAGACCACCTAGCCACCGAGTACATTAATTGCAAGGGGTATTTCTCAATGGTTCTCCAGGCACTTATGGATCACCGTGGGTATTTCAGAGACATTAACGCAGGCTGGTCCAGAAAGGTGCATGACACATGCATCTTTTGGAACACTGGCCTGTTCAGGAAGCTGCAATCAGGGACTTTCTTCCCGGACCAGAAGATTACCGTAGGGGAAGTTGAAATACCCATTCTGACCCTGGGAGACCCCACCTACCCCTTAATGCCATGGCTTATGAAGCCATACACGGGGCAATTTGACAGCAGCAAGGAACGGTTCAACAAC